GGATTTTGATCTCCCTTACCTGGTATGTCCCATGCCCTCCGTTAGCAACATAAGTCCCGTAGTCACCCTTGATCATGCTGATGTTCAGACGGAGCATAAAATTGAAGATTACTAAGGATGCTGCACCACATGCTTTATCACCACTAATTCTAAAGGAGTGCACCGGCTACATTGCGGTACTATTCTGTTCCGCTGCTTTCTTATGGGTGGCAAAATCCATGACATTCGCAGATCTGTAAGGATAACGTCTGTGCCCAAGCAACAGCCTCAAAGTTATCGTCCGATCGCATGTACGTCGGTGATATTAAAAGTGTTCGAGAAACCACATGTCCCTCAGATTTTCACGGGTACCCAAGCAGACGATGTATATCGTTTTGCTTATTAATCTAATCGCTTCACACCGGATGCTGTGCAGTATCACCTAAATAAGAAGAAAAATGCAGAACAATGCACCTGCTGTTTCATGATTATTAAAATGCTTTCGGGAGCTTCAACAGACCAATACTGCTCAACCAGTAGCTCACGATGGGGATTCCAACAGCGTGATTAAGAACTACATTACAAACGGTGCCAACTTTATTAAACTTGACGGAACAAAGTTCTCCATACTTTGTGCGATTGTGGTGTTTTGCAAGAAGCCATCCACTCCCGCTCTTTATTCCCTAAAGATTGGAAGCATCGCAATTTTATTGGTTGCAAGTATGCAAATGATGTCGTTTTGGGATGAATTGCACTGAAGATTAAGACATCTCCTAGTCAGAGTGGCCGTGATCGCCGTCCCGATCATCTCTCATGCAAAACAATTCTAACGTTGCGCATCTCCTCGGGCTGATAAGCTGCAAATTATTTTGAATGCATTCCGTCAGCGGTAGTAAGTCACCGACTCATACGCAGGTCCTTATTTGTCAAATATTTGGTGGCCTTGTACCCCCAAACCTATATTGGTCTACTCACGTTGCCGAAACGTTACACAAAGTTAGAAGGCTATTATTTTATCCCTAGGATAAAAAATGACTTAGGAACTTTGTGATTCGAATTTTAAATTGTGCATGCATTCTGTCTCACTGTGTTCGCTAATCTGAATACCGAATACTGTATTATGGAGCAAACAGAAATGAATTCTGTACAACACTTTTGAAGTATGGTGAAAAACGTTATAAAAATTGTCAGCCGTGAATATCGTAATCGTTCTCAAGTAAGATTTAAAATAGCTGACTCACGGTATTGCAGGACTCACAAAAGTGAGATGTACTCGTAAATATGCAATCGTTCTCTGAATCGAATAGCGGTAAAATATAGATCCAACAACGTTTCGAATTGCTGTCTAGATGTGGCCTTCATCACATGTTCGGGCAAACTGTTCCAAATATTTACCTCTCTCCGTTCGAAGCACAGTGGGCGGGGAACCCGCTTCACATCAGGCACGACAAGTTTGTATCTGTGTCCGCGTGTGCTGCATGGCCATCGTAAGTGCCGCATTAGCATAGGGAAGTCACAGAGATGTAGAATAAGTCAGGTAATAATGACGTCGACTCGCACCCGACGGTAGGGTAAGGTGTAGACTCCTAGCCTCTAAACATGTAAACTAAGGAAGAGCCTGATAGCAACGTGTTGCAACCGTTCGATCCGTTGTGAGAAACCCAGTTTCACCTGCTATAGATTGTTTACCTTTGATGTGTCCCACGAGCACCGATGTCCCGGTATATGAAAGCTTGACTGTTGAAGACCAGTGGAAAGAAAAAACAACGAAATTACGAAGGGATGTTGCTCACGCCTCAAGCACCCCCAGGCGGTCCCTGCTGCGGCCTGTGTGTAGCCTTCACCAAGGTTCGCAGTGTTACGAACAAACGCGAGGACCTTTGTCTTTTCGCTGCGTATGAGCGACCAGAGAAATGGCTGTATTCCGAGTTATACACACAGGAACTTGAACTCAACGGTTACTCGTGCTTCCGCTGCGATAGACTAACGAATGCCCGCGGTGGTGCTTTGCTCTACATCCGGTCTTCCTTGTGTGCGAAACTTGTGAGCACCTACCGAAGTGACGATGGTCTGTGTGAGCTACTGTGCTGCTCCATCCACCTCAAGTGCGGAGAACTACTTGTGGGCGCAGTCTATCACAGCCCCTTGAGTAGTTGTTTGAATTGGCTGCTCCATCTTCGAACCCACATGAGCCTTCCACACTTTATACTTATGGTCAATTTTAACTGTCCTCGAATACGATGGCCTGGTGTGCATTTAGTGTCGGAAAATGGTGAAGTTGAATCAAAGTTCATGGATTTGGTACTTGAAACTGGTGAATCGCAACGAATATGCCACCCAATACGCATAGCACCACGCTCAACCCCGTCCTGTCTCCATCCGATGTTAACGAGCTACGAACAACGAGTGCGTGACGTTCGGATCCCTGGCTACAAGCGACCACTCAGTGTCTATTGCCGTGTACACGTCCGATGGAACCAGCTTTCAACTACTGGAAAACGCACTTCGACGGTCTAGCTCGAGCCACGAGCCAACTGTATTGGTCTTTATCACAAGCTGCATCTGTGGAAGAATGTTGGACATTTATAAAAGAGAGATCGACATCAATGTGTTCCCAATTTGTGCCCTTGAAGTGTCGAAAGATTGAACCGATTAAAACTCATTGGTTTGACAAAGAGTATGGAAATCTGGCTCGGAAGCGACGCAGACTGTAGGACAGATTCCTACTCTCTGGCTCTGCCAATGACTACGAAGGGTATAAACGTCAGCGGAACCTCTGCAACAGTGTGAAATGAGTAAGCGACGACATTTCGTAGAGCAGCTCGCAATCACTGCGAATCTTTGCTTACGTGAAGCAACGCCTGAAGTCGGTAGGTGATGTGCCATTGCTGGATGGTCCGGACGGACAGACCCTAGCGTCCAGCACTGAGCGTGCGTCCGAGTTGGCGGCGCACTTCGCTTCTGTATTTGCAAATGACCAGGTGTCTGTTTCGGGTTCGTCGTGTACCGCTTTTTTCGAACTCGACCGTCTGGATTGCCGCATTGAAGAAGTATCTCAACTACTCGTCAGTCTTGACGGCACCAAACCTGCCGGAGTTGATGGGCTCCACCCACCGGTTCTCAAGTCACTTTCGGCCATCATCTCTCCTGTCGTGACTAATCTTTTCAACAGGTCGCTGTCCTAAGGTTCGTTGCCTTTAGATTGGAGATCTTCGGTGGTGAAGGTTATTCCGAAAGGCGGCAACCCTAGTAAAGTAGATAACTATAGGCCAATTTATCTGGTACCTATTTTGGCTAATGTTGTTGATAAAATCGTGAATAGGGGATTACTGAAGTTGCCACAGTCAAAAGAGGTCCTGACGCCCGCACAACAAGATTTTATGCATGCATTACAAACTTGCTTGTGCCGATGCATGAGTGGTTGCAGGCAATAAGCAAGAGGAAGTCTGTCAACGTGATATTCATCGATTTCAGAAAAGCGTTCGAAAAGGTCAGCCATGAGGTCCTCCTTCACAAACGCAGGATGTGCGGTGTCGGTGGCTCACTGCACCGGTGGATCCGCGACTTTCTTGTTAGACGAAAGTGGAGGGTACAAGTCGACGACCATCTAACTGACTGGCATCCCTCTATAATTCGCGAAGTACGCCGCCGTACCGTATGAATATCCACCGAAATATGTCCGATTAGATGAGACTCAAAAGGGGACAGTTCTAGTCCTCCTCTCTTAACTATGTAACCAAGTTGTATTCAGTGATTGACCGATAAGCGCGGCCTCCCGATTAGGGTGATACAGAGCGTAGCGCAGTTTGATATGCACCGCGTATCAAGGTACAAGGCACCGCTGTGGGAATGGATCGACAGACGACTATTTATCACAACCATAGAATAATCATCAGGGAACCGACTTACTAATCTTGTTAGAACTCAAGGGGCAGGCGGTAACTTGTTTATTGATAAAGTGGCTTACACTAGGTGTGTTCGTTCATACTTTGGAGGCGTCCGCTCATCTGCGTGATTTCCATGGAGTGTTCCTCAACTGGTGCTTGCCTCTGTGTTCACTCCTCGTGCACATGGAACTGTAATCCTGATGTCATCTTCAACTTTGGGGAAGCCGGCAGAGCTCGCTGTTGGTGTGTCGTCTTGCACCACCACACTACTTATACCCGGCGCAGTAGTATCTACCTTTAATCCACCACAATCGGACCACGTACAACCAATGGTCATCAAATCCCAGAAGAGGCTATTCAGAAGTGAGAAATCAGTCAATCGCCCAAAGGCAAAGTTTACAACAATACAGTGCACCGAGTTCTAATGTATGAAGCAGAAACATGAAGGGAATGCTTGTTTCCGATCACAGTGCTCTCTTAATTATTGATGATGAAACTCTTGGTACTGCAATGGACCTGTCGCTATAGTTCAAACGCTTACATTGTCCATGAAACGCGAATCGTATGGCTCCTGACCATCAGCTCGTTTACGTGCCAATGGCAATTACTGTACACGTTCGGACAAACCCTTGGCAACCAATCGATGATATATCATGCATACATGAATAAAGTAAGCGAATAGCTGTGCTCAGTAGGTTGCTGCCATCCTCCTAGATGTGAGCCTTGTAATCCGCCACTTTTGGAATGGGAACGAATTTCTACAGGGCAAAAACACAAAACTAGTGGCGCTGTTGAATGTATTTATTCCGTCCCGACTCTTATCCGTCGCATCAGGCTAATTGCTCGATTTGGCTTGCTTTCTTTATCATTGCTACGACACCTATCTATTCATACTAAAGTGCCAATGACAGCGAGTGCACACACTGTAGTTAGGCAATTGTATTCAAGTGGGTACCAAGCATAATGGAATGACATGTAGACCATTCGGATGTGGGATTCCTTAGGAATAAAATACCAGGTAGAATAGAAAGCATCACAGCGAATAAACGAGCGATAAATAAAAGGGCGAAAGCGGCTGAGACGATAAATAACACACAGTATAATGAAAAACATAATTTGCAGGGAGGTGGCTACCTGCTTCAGAGAGGGCGTCAATTCCAACTTCGTGAGAGACCGGGCAATCCGCTTCTGTGGCACCGGCGTTCTCAGACGAACTGAGCTGCTCTGACGACTGCTGCTTGCTCCATTCTATCAAATCTAGCACCAACTTCAACTGAACATGAAAAAGGAGAATTATTAAGTAGACAAAACTCAAACGATCCAGATACGATTGTGCAAAACTTTCGTTCGATGTACGAAGCAACAACCCAACAACTTAAACCATACCGCAAAAATTCACTGTTATCCACTAGTCCACCGCATCGATGAGCGCAAAGATACGTAATGCACGGCATCGTGTTTTGAACAGTATCAATGTAGGTGTGGCGACTGGCGAAGTGGCTCGGGGGCCAAAGTATCAAACGAAAAAGTAAGGCGTCATCAATGGCAGTCAGAAGATTATTAAAATAAGAATGGATTTGAGCATGGAGAGATGACTTATGTACCTCTATGACTCAGTGAGTCACGCAATGCGGTAATTAGCTGGTGATTTCAGAGAATCTCATGCCGGGAAGGCCAGCGGTTAAAAAAGACACAAACCCAGTTGCACTGCTCCACTCATAGCAGGCAAGGGATACGGTTCCCTCGGAACTCATCTATGCGAGAAAGTAGTTGGCGATTTGCCATTTTAGACCGTTTGGCGATTGAGACATCTAGGTACGGAATGTGCTTTGCTCCGTCAAAGTGTAAAGTACTGCTTCAGGATTGGCACTCATCTGTTCTCCGTGCTCAATATTGAAGGTACACAGCTTGAACAAGTAGATAGCTTTGTCTACCTGGGCAGCTGTGTGTCTGCTGGTAGTACCATTGGAAAGGAAGTTTCTCTTTGCATAGCCAAAGGTCGGTCGGCGTTTGTCAACCTGCAGCACTTGTGGCGTCGTCGGGATGTATCCCTTCTGGTAGAGGGCCGTGTTTACAAGGTTACCGTTCGGGCGGTGTTGCCATATGAGTGGGAGTCATGGCCCGTTCGTGCAGATGACATGCGACGGCTCTTGGTCTTCGACAACGGGTGCTTGAAGAGAACTGTTCGTGTGTGGTGGCAACAACACAGCTGCAATAGTGAAGTCAGACGCCGTGTCTTAGGGAATGCGAGTATTCCCTTCAACAAGTTGATTTTACTGCGCTAGTTAAGATGGCTCGGTCACGTTCTGAGCACGTCAGCTAAGCGTTTGCCCAACTGCGCCCATTTCGCTCGTGCAGGACTTGGCTGGAAGAGGCCACTTGGTGGTCAGCCGTCCAACTGTCGGCAGCATATGAAATCGTTGACTTCACGTCTTGCCACCGTTGGATCCACACGCCTGCCTGGTTGGAGACCAAAGGATGAAGAATGTTGATGGCTGGAAACAATTCAGAATACGACTCGTAATCGAAACCAGTGGAGGATCTGTGTACATAATTGCTTAGATGTGGATGCTTAATACTTACCGAGTGAAAACGACAAAAAAGGGCGTTTGCAAAATAGCAAAAAATGCTCCGTTTTTTCTTTTATTGCGGCACAATGGCTGAAGTGTGTTGCTCATCTTCAGTTAATGACGATACGATGTTGAACCTATCTTCGTCCAGTGATTTCCATGGTTTTGTTTGGCTCTATGTCTGTTTACTAGACTGCTTCCCATACTACTACTAGTAGGTTGCGAATTATAAGCTAGGCTACATTGACATAGAACACAAGCACCACGAGTTGTTTAAGATAGCAAGAGAATTCGCAACTACCCGCAATAACCCACGTAGACTACACAATGAGGCATAGACGATCTAAAACTCATCTGCAGTTGGCGTGCTCGTAGACAAATGATCTGATACGGTTGGAGGTCATATGCACAACATGCTAAACACGCTCTCATATACTAGATTCATCAGTTGAGTGGTTCTGATCAGCCGAAGCATATCACTATGTAGGTGGTATCAATATTTGACAAATATCCATGGATAGGATCAAAGCTGACGACTGAAAACTAGCAGGTCCACAAAAATGACAGTATGCATACCGCGAATAAAAGACCAGTTCCGAAAGGTTTTCAGAGGTGTATGATAGAAATATCTAGTAAAAATCACAAGCAAAATGGATGTAAAACAGTTGGTCCTAAAACATTTGGCAGTGCTGATATGATTCCATAAAATATGTGACAAATAAAGGACAAATGACGCACGGTGGGTCCATGTGAAAGCATATGTGGTTTTGTACATCTGCCTTGTCAAGGTTTATATGCATTCAAACAAAACCCTACAGTATAGCAGTTTTGTTATTAGCGTTTTTGGATTCCTATGACCAACGGCAGCTCATCAAACCACACCGCCCTGTTTCGCTGGGCGGGGTGGGAGTATAGCGCTAGCATCATGGGGCAGATAGGTCAAGCGTTTGCTCTATCATGCACACTGGAGGGTGGACGTGTACTGAGTCTCTGAAATTTCCAAGCGACTGACCTGCACTCACGTCCGGAGATATTGCGGTGTAAATCAAGCCGAATTGCGTGTCGAACTCAGCTTTAGGACATAATACTCGTTGGTTTATTGGATTACCGAAAGCCGCCGTCCGTCTGAAGAACATGGAAGAGAGCTAGGTGCTATTCCTTCGCGGTCGCTACAGGTAGCTCAAACGAGTACAGTTCTTGTGCTGTCACACACATTTTGTCAAGAAGTTCCTATTACGCGGTAGCACGGCACCAGTTGTAGCGCTACTTGCATGATATGTATATATGCAATGTGGTCGTCTAAGCACCCTAGAAACCCAGTTAGTTGGAAAGTTTAGATTGAACTCCGAGTGAATGGACAATGGCAAGTGTTTATGGCAACTGTGTACCAATCATCGGCAGCTATCTAAGCCAAATGTGGAAATCCATCGTTGTGACAGGGATACAAGCACGATAGCGGAGTTTGTGTTTACTCGATAACAGCACCCATTAAGCTGATAGTCCACTGCAGCTTTAAGGCTGTACTTGGCTCGAGACCGTGCCGAGCACAGCACACGACCAGCACCAATGGCGCGTATGTTGGAATCATCTAGACCAGTGGTACTCAACATTTTGGGGCGGTTACCTACAAATCGAGTTCACTACAAACAATTACTCCTCAAAAAGCTAAGTATCTACTAACTATTGCAGTTTTGCCTCAAATTACGGAAATAAATAAAAGTGGTAAATTCTCGCAAACATCCAAATGAAGAAGACACCTATTTCTGGACCAGTATTAAATAAGCAATGAGACATTTGATATTGCTTAGTTCCAACAATTTCCTGAATATTTGGCGCAATTTCGGCTAATGCAAGCAGTTAGCCGTGCTCAAAGTTCAGTTGCTTCCTTCGTTTGGTGTGTGATCCCTGATCAAACATGAACAGATGTCACTGGTAGTAAAAAATCCCAATAGATGATTAAAAGTCGATGCAAGCGAATATATGTTTTCAGTAATTCCTCTTCAGGCTTGTATAATTATATGTGAAATAAACAAATTATTTGACACAACGTAACAGTTGGTAAGACAAGTTCGGTTCACAATCACTGAGCAAGCACAATCACCATCCGTTAGGTCACAAGTGCGGCGTACACGCCATTCCGTGAGCCGGATGTCGCAGTTCGAGTGGGCCAAGGCAGTTTTAACGTCTGCGGCTCGTACAGTCGAATCGCGATGGCCTCCGCGGCTTCAAGCAAACGCCCACGAACACACTTTGATCGATTGTCCGGCGCCTAATGGATCACTTTGATTCAGCCAAATTGGTGGCGTGGCCAGTGTCGGCGAGATACGTGGCTATGGATGAGTTGGTTGGTTCTCGACAAGCAGTCATGAACCAGGCCGGATGGTGTTCCTTCACCACGTCAAACAGGCGCCTCGTCGTTCGACTAATATAACTTGCCCCACAGGAAGAGGAGAACGAATAAATACACATTGATTTGGCGTGGACGGGCCTCTTGTCTTTCGGGCTAGTTCCAACCATTGGGTTACCGGCGAACTGCATTTGCCTTTTAGCAGATGAGAAAGTGTCTGATGACATGAGAAAGGCGACGAGTGATGATTTCAGCAGCGATTTCTGCCTTGTATGGTAACTGGATATATATGGGTTTTTTTCTAGACTGTAAGGGTTACAGGAGTATTCTTCCTTTGCCCCATGTTAGCGTTCAGGAAACTGTTAGGGTAACCATTTTTCATCAGCCTCAAACGTATGCGCTTCAGTTCATCGGGAAATGTTTCGTTCGAGCAAATTCTTTCTGCTCGATTCATTAGACTGAGGATCAAGTGCCGTTTTAATTTCAGTGGGACGAAACTGTGGAAATTCAGCTAATGTCCATTCCGCATGTGTTTTCGATACACGTGACGTTGTAGCACGCCACTGTCGAGGAAGTGAAAGTACCAATTACCTCTACTTCTAAGGTGAACTTCAGCGTTTCGTGCGCTTGATTGAATTCATTGGCAAGGTACTCGATGGTTCTAGAAGAGTGGAGCAGTACAAAGATATCGTCGACGTAATGGCAGTAAAGACTGAGGTTCGTGAAGATGGATTTTAAGTTGCCCCGTTCAAACATACCAAGGAATACGTCAGCGAGAAACGGTCCAAGTGGAGAACCCATAGCAATTCCATTGTATTGTTGATGCAGTTCATCGTTAAATTGAAATGATGTTGAAAGTGCACGGAAGCAGCAGTTGAATTAGGGCCCCCGTAGATAAGTGTGGACGAGTCGTACATTACTCGGAGGCTAATGTTACACCACCATCCGATCGAGGTGTCGAACAGTCTGGCCGCTCACGTAATCTACCAGTTCACCTGCATTTGCCGTGACGTATACATTGGCAGCGCCGACGGACGGCTGGCCTGAAGGGTAGCCGAATACTTCCCAAGTTGGTTAAGACAGTCGATGTCACAACAAAGCGTAGTGGATCAGGCGATAAAGCGGAATCCTGGTTCATCTATCGCAAAGCATCTCGTGACGACTGGTCATCATGTGGACATATAGACCGCTGTCAAAATACTCCTGCGGGACAAGAATCCAAAATGTTTGGCAATAGGTGAAGCACTGTCGATCACGCAGAATCGTCCAACACTGTGCGCACAGAAACAATTGAAGCAATCTATTAGATGGCCGTGACGTTGATGCTCATTTTGCATCCGGTTCATGAACGTTAATTTCATGCATACTCATTCGTTTACATTTTGCATGTATTGTGTTTGCGACTACGAAGAACAGTCGAAATGTTAACATCTCGCAACATTTGTCTTCTGCAATAATGAAGTGGATAAAGAGGATGAAATGTTTTAAAGCACTAATGATTAGTCAATGATGGCTAATCAACAGTGATTAGGTAGTTAGTTACATGAGGTGGTACAGATGACGTTTTTAATTTTGTTTGGCAACAGAATGATGACTAAATCGTCTTACTTAAATTTGCCCCCGGTAAAATTCCATTTTACTTCTTTGGGGGTAATTACCCCCAGGTTGAGAACCACTGATCTAGACCGATCAGCTGGGCTGTGTTCGCTATAGCGTACCACTGACTTTAGTGCGCGGTAAAAGAGCACCGATGTCACATTATCGTCGCTGTTTGTGACTGCCGTGTTGGCAACGCATAGTTGCTTTCACGGTGAATGTTTATTAAGTGTATGAAAGTTCGTTTTGATCGACCGGCCTTCACTCCCTTCGTATCCCTCAGAGTCGAATTTATCACTGTTGATTCATCAGTATAAAGTGCTGTCGCCGTTGCCACCAATGCTCATTGGATTACACATCACCGCAACCCACATAGAAGTCAATGAGTTCCGATCATTGGGGGGACTCACTTCTTTCATAACCGCACGCCGCCGTTCTTCATTGATGTCGTCTAGGAAGAGACACAGGAAACAAATTCTCAAAAGTGAATCACTACGAGCAAGGATGAAATGGAGCGATACAGGGTGCGGGTGAAAAAATAAGGACCAATAAACAGTAACCTCAAGAAGAAAGAAGGGAGTGTTAGTTTCTTGAGAGCACACGCAAAATGTAGCCGATGCAAAAGGATCGACGCGTGTAGTTGTGAACAGCGTGTCAGACATCCTGATTTGCTGTCGAGACAACAGACAGCGAAAATCCCTGACAGTGTTCCAAACCAGGGTCAAAGCGCATGTAACCATAGAAATCGTAGATATTAACACAAACCAAAAGTGCTGAATGACTTCTTAAATACCAATGTCGTGACATTTCAATTTTCCAGTGGATTCACAAGCATGGATTTGCCATGAGAAACAGTTATGACCAACGAGGTGTATGCTTGAAAAACAGAATCATCACAAATGGCTTTCAGGTATACTGATTAACTCTTCAAGCTGCTAGGATCCACAGGAAATTCAGATAAACCAAAGACTCCGCAAGAAATTTATTAACCGCAGCGCCGTACAGATCGCATTCGTAAGACAGAAACACGTTTACAGATAAATCCCGGAAGTGCTCCTACGATATATTTAAAAATGGGCGTGTTAAGTTAGAACAAATCTAACTGGAATAAGGCTGTGTTAGGATAACCCAAAGCCAGATGGCCCCACGGAACTGTGCATTAAAAGTGAGCAAACAGCGTGTTCCGAGCTAGCTACGCAACTGACTGCAGATGAACATGTACATATTAGGAATGTGCCCTCAAAACCCCTGAGACTTACATTTGTTTTCTATAACGGACCATTGTTCTTGTTGTCTGGCGCACAGGGCATGCAACACCTGTAAAACTGTCGTTTCCCATATCATCCCACGTTAGAATTGCCGCTTGCAGTTTGTGCTACTGGCATTTACCTTCACGTCCCTGGGTACTTCGTCCGGTTTTGTGTTCACCCTATGCGACTAACATGGCGGGTTATAGCATACAACAGTGCAAAAGTCAGGAGTCGGTAGGAACCCAACTTAATTGGACCATCTCTTACGACCACTACAACTTGCGACACCATTCAGTCGCGCGCAGCTGAACCTCGCCACCATTGTCTTCTGGAGGTTGTGTGTTGCGCTCATCCTCACAGTCGTTACTGTGAACTGCTTCCGAGGCACTTCTTGTGTTAAACCTGTGTCTGTAGACACCAATCGTTCCGCTTGTGATAATCCGTTGAAGTGGTCCACGGCTGACCTGCTCCCCTCTGATTTGCCCGCATGGACCACATAACATGCACCTAGCGCAGTAAAACTTAATCCAAGGGCACCACCATGCCAACCTCATACTTAAACGAAATCCTATTGAGTGGCTTCTAGTATTCTCTCTCAAACCGTAAAGCACTCTAAAAGGAATATATTCAAGGTATAACACACGATGCGAAAGGATGTACGAACCTCCTTCGTCAACATCGCAGAACGATCGTATGTTTGATACGCATTTAGCTGCACTCACACATTAAACAGGTATAAACCGGTTAATTGGAAAGCAGACCGGAAATAAAGGAACACCAGCAATAGTATTTAGGAGAGGGGTTAAATCCCAAATGCAAAAACTTCGATCTGCAAATTCGTAACCAGAACGAAAATCACACTCAATCTTCTGTTGATGGATGAGTGCTTGAAAGAGGACAAGAGTCACGGAGTTGGACTACGCCGATGATATCACCTTGCTGGGGGACGACCCACAAACCGTCCAGAGCGCTTTGGACCGCTTAGCGATGGAGTCTAAGTATGGATTACGCTTCACTCTGGGAAAATGTAAAACACTGCTCCAGGACTGGCAGGTGCCTGAACCCGCGCTCACCATTGCTGCACATGTACTGCAGCAAGTCCCTTGCTTTAAATATCTAGGGAGTTACATCACGGCTGGTGGCGGTGTTGGAGAGGAAGTTTGACAACGGATTGCAAAGGCCCGTCTTGCATTCATCAAACTGAGACACCTATAGCATCCTCGTGGTGATGTTAGTCTCAAGCTCAACGGCAGGGTGTACAATGCTTCTGTCCGTGCAGTACACTTGTACGGCTGTGAGACTTGGCCTATTCGCTCGGAAGACATGAAGCAGCTGTCAGTCTTCGACAATCGCTGTCTACGAAGGATTGCTCGGGTGTAGTGACAACACCACGTAAGCAACGCAGAGGTGCGAGACCGCGAGCTTGGAGCGAATAGTGGCAGTCTTCAGGACGTTATTCTCCGACATCGCATGCGTTGGCTCGGGCACGTTTTGCGCATTGCAGCCCATCGCCCTTCACGTTGAGCGATATTTGCACTCCCAGGGAGCGACTGGAAAAAGTGCCGCGGTGGACAGCCAATGACATGGAGCATGAAGAAGGCAACTTCAAGTTTGGCGGCAGTCGGACCAGTCCGTATTCCAGGTTGGGGACCACGAGATGCTGAATCGCAGTGGTTGGAAACATTAGACGTCATGGCCCGCAAGACATCAGTAGCGTCAATGTTGTTCTGCCATTATATCCACTTTTTAATACACACAAAGGCACAAAAAATTCAAAATGGGGTGTGTAAAACCAAAAAATCGTTTCCCATTATTTAATCGCAGTTCGTGTTCCTATCTTCTCCACATTTTTTCTTCTGCCATGGTTCTGAAGGCACAATGTCTGTTAACAGACTGTGAATATATATATATATATATATATATATATATATATGTCACTAGGGTCAGACAATGGGTCTCGAACCCGAACTTGAAGCGGTCGCTGTAGGAAGATGTTTCCCACTCATCCATGGACAAAGTGCCGAAGGTTTATAGTTTATGGTGAAGGATGTGGTAATCTAGGCGGTAGAAAAGTTTAGAAAGGTCTACATAACTGACATCGATTCAGGTTCCACTACTCGATGTTCCGGTGGCAACACCGAAAGAGAGGGAAAATACATCGATGAGCGTGCCTGTGGATGTTCGCGTGAGAAACTGACGAAAGATATTCACCAGCGGCAACATGGGCGATTAGAGGTGAAAAGCGGGCTAAATCAGTCCGTCATCGTCAGCCTGCAGTGAGTCTAAATCACGCAATGCGAGCGGGCAGTAAAAATAGGTGCATCATGACAACGTGGAAGAGGTGAACAACAGCAAAAGACCACACGAATAATAGCCAATTATCCAGATGATAGAAAAGCGGACAAATCAAGAGCAAGGTAAAGAGCAGTGAAAGATAGAGACGTCGCTACAAGGGTGTCTAATCTATACATATGAACATTTTTCAGTCCTTAATACACACCGGTCTGCTGAGCCATGATTTCTGTTTTCTTTCTCTCCGGTTGGATTGAAACGCCAAGCAGAATACGGTTCCAGGCGGTGGCAGACAGCTTTACAACAGCTGTAGATAACCGATGTTGATGGAAGCCGTGTCGCTTTAGTGCAATGATGTTAAATGTTTCGAAATGGTTCATTAATGCCCCAGAAATGATAGCTTTCATTAACTATGAGAGCATTGGGAGGAGCCTCATTGGGCGATAGTTTGCGAGTTCCGAACGGCTACCACCCTTAAAAATCTGGGTAATGAGACCTTGTCTCCATATGGCAGGACATACTGTTCATCCAAGCACTTTAGAAAGAATCGGGATAATGGCTTGGATAGCCTCGCAACTGCCATCTTCAGTGCTTTCGGGTGCATGTTGTCAACTCCGTGGTGCGCAACGATAGTAGCTTCCTCAGAAATGGTCGCTGAACTATAAGTGCCGTGGATGAAATCTGACATCCGGAGGACCGAGACAGGTATATGACAGATACTAGGATCGCGACGGAATATTGGAGTATGTTGTAACCGAAAAACATTGACAACATCTTCAGGGCTTAGAGCACATCTCTATGCTGCGAGGATTGGAGGAAAGTTCCCTGTCCAGGAGCTGTTCACGTGTTTTTGAAAACATTCGTTGAGACTAGACGAAAGCAGACGGACACCACACATCCAGGAAAGCGCTAGACGGCCGTTTCGTTCCATTGGGACTCGTCAGCGGCGCGCATTCGCCGGAGCCGAACCCATGACCTCATTCTTACGAGTCAGCGACGTATGCCACTGACCGTGGGTGACGGCAGCGGACCACCATGACTGATATCTAACTGCGACATAGCGCGGCTTATCCACCACTGTCGTACATGTTATAAACATGCAGAGGACAGGGATGGTTCCCAGAGCTACGACTCCTTTTTCAGGCTGCCACCAATCGAAGTGTTATGTGAGCTGCTAAGCTGGTTACTGATAATCAGAGAGTTGTAAAAGGAATTGCTGTTTTAAGAGAATATTCGTCGAGGACTACTGAGGATTTACAATAGGACGAAAAAGCCGTCTAGCACTTCTTGGATGTGTGGGGGCTATCTGGCTGCGATGGATCTTCCCAAAAATACCCCCCTTTCTACTCTATAAGGTGCACATATTAATACAGCATCTTGTTAACGACATAAAGGATTTCTGCCAGGTACTGCCGGTGTACTAAGTTGTTCTCACGGATAAGTGTCGAGCAGCGGATACGCTGCGCAAGCTGGCTAGTAACGCTGAAGATCGCCAGTAGGGGCTCGATAACAATCCCTATGTCAATGAAATTGGGCGTATTTTAGCCTGAAACGACATGAGTCAACTCACGCTCTTCACATGCTTGTTGAATGCCCATCTCGGTGTAGGTTGCCTGCGAGCACTTTGTGCGATTGAGTGAAGTGCCAAGTGTATGCTGCGGTTCTGGATGGGGGGCCTGGAAATCAGCCACGTCAGCGTATGGAGCCTAAATAATAAGTGGTTGCAAGGAAATTGGCGCTGTTGCAGATATACTAGTGTTTCATGCTGCTGGCATGTTATCTAACAAACTATAGTTTCCAGACAGATTTATGCCTAAAACATGTTTGATTCTTCTGCTGTTAGCTATTTTTATTTTCATCCCATTCAATGGGATAATCAAGCGAGCAAATCCGATTTGCCAAGTGAAGATTGGACCATCGGTCGGATATCACCGGACTAAGCTGGAGAGGGAGCAGTATCGGGCTGATGTCAGGAAATGTTATTTGACGTGCAAATCGACGGGAATCAATGAGCAGGATGTGTCAAAGGTTGCACACCCTATTCAACGTCTTGACCAAAGAGGGGTCGACACTATGACTGAAGTAGTTTTTATAGTCCACGTTGGGATTTTGTTTCGGCACCATCAGGTTTTGTCGCCATGGTGTTTAACTGTGCTTCTGCGTTCGGCGAGAATTGAATTAGTTGTTTGGTGTTCCTGAATGGTTATGATCCCTGACTCAGATACACACCGAAAAATAATTCTGATACACAGAAGCGACTCCTTGAGGGCTACGCTGATGGGGGGGGGGGACGACTAGATGTTAAAAAGTACTGAGCACCAAGGCCAGCAATCAGTTCATTCGAAAATCACACAACTTAAGTGTGGATAGACGTCTCAGGGCCAGAGAAGATGATCGCTGAAGGAATATGAGAGCATAAATTTTTTGGCTTCATCCAAATGCGCTGCCCATGCAGCACAGTCAGCCTAGAGGTTAAAAGCAAAGCCGCTTAACAATGGCGACATAAGAGATCAAGTTGAGATCGGAGCTTAGAGTCGTCAACGAAAAGATGGAAAATGCACACAAAAGAGCAATGCCTCAGGGGAGATCTTTTGAAAGCGAGCTATAAACTTACAAGATAGATTTTTTCAAGTTAATTGTGCAAAGACACTACAAGCACATATGGGTCCCAAAGCTGACCATAATTATTCGGGATATTGGAAACGAAATCAACCAATGCAGACGCAGAGCTTCAGTTACCTTTAGCCACTGCCAGCCAGTTTGGAAAGTTGGCTTCAACATGACTGATAGCTGCATGCAGTCGATTGGTTCGGAGCTGCAACAACAACGGATGAATGGTTGAACAGCGAAGAAAAGAGAAAGAGGTGGAACAATAGTTGTAGTTTAGCAAAGTTGGAGCCATGTGACAGCAACATTGTTGACAGCCAGAAAGTTTCAATGAAATGCAGTCAAACATTGAGGGATCAAAAGCCGATGGAACCACAGTCTTCCCAGAGACAGGCTAAATGGAGAAAGCCGGTTGATTCAACCTGACAACGTCGATTCATCTTAATCGGTAAATCGGAACATAGGAAAGGTGGTTTACACGACATGCAAACGATCATAGGAACATACCAAGAGGTAAAATTCTTCCACGCTATCAAGGATACTGCCATATCTGTTGTCCGGAGAGCTACAAAGGGATTCTGAAGCGCAAGGGAAGTTGAAGGATTTGGAAACCTTGAAAGCCATCACAGTGCAAAACCGGGCAATTCTAATAATATTAGGGAGACAGCACATCGAAAAAAGTGAATGCACCATATAGGGACAACTCTGGTAGTGACGTGACATTGAGCACAAAAACCGGAAGTTTGTCCATTGGGTGAGTGACCACGCGAGGAGTCGTAGGATGCTTATCACCTTAACGTCAGTGAAGACTACCAGCACATGAGAATAAAAAATTCAATTTAGAACAGCGGTCAACAAACCTTAGAAAGCCGCTGCACTTGAAAAATGAAGTGTAACTGGAAGGGCGAATAGTGTAGTGGTTGTCGAGGCGGATTGATGCAAGAGAGATTGTGTAGTAGCACCAGTCATCGGGACAACAGTGAAATAGGACTCCCGTAACAATATTTCGCTTTTAAGTGAGCTGACAGTGCAGCCCAGTGAGCATAGTGCATGTGATGCAAAAGTGTAGTGAGGTGCCTCACAGCTCCATGGCTTCAACAGAGATTACTGGGTTTCATTCAAACAGGTGCAACACCTAGAGTCTGTTTTCAGCATCAGTGAAGTCAAATGATGAGCAGTCAAATCACGAGAACCACAACTTCTCCCATCGATTACTTTGTATCGAGCACGATATACTGGACGTTCACTGTGAGATAAGATGGGTAAGTGCTGAAGGTTACCAGGTGGCCGTATGAGTGACGGGTAGGGGGCTGAAAAAGTAATTTTCACCATGTCACAGTAATCTGACAGAACAAGAATCGAGTATAAAGTGATAAAACGGCATACTTACTCAATTCTAACAGTCGTTCGGTGTCGGTGAGTATCGCCATATGTTGAAGGTATGTCAGGTCGAATTCCGTGGATGAAGGTCTACACTCACTCTGGCTATCTGGGGAGCCGAACGACACACTGAGGGCTCTTAGGCGAGAAATTTTTTCGTTTGAGGACACAGTGTCAAGCGAATTTCGGCTACCGTCACATAAGGTGGTATGTAAATCTTTCAAAATAGACGCGGAATTTATTGGAAGAGTAGAGTCAGTGCATCTCGTCACGTCATCGGATTCCTCAATAGCTTGATCCAACGGTTGTGTCGACTGGGAGGGCAGTGAGACTTCTGGGGTGATATGAAAACGAAAGATGAAGGAGGACAAGACGGCTTACTTAAAGCGTTAGTTAGGCTGATGCATGTAACGCTTACGAAGGCACCTTCGGGTAAAAACGGTGGTTTTGAACTGGATGATTTTAGTTACATCAACAGCAATCAATAAATAGTCAAAATCAAGGACATGGAACGACTTATTCTAGTTGTCGTAAAGGAAAAGAGGTTGGGGAGAAGGAAGTGGTACTACGTGATGCATAAGCCAATGGGCTATGCGCACAATTCGTGTTCAGCACGAAACATAAAGGAGAAAGACAGATAATAAAGCTAGTATGGGTGAAGTCGGTGAGCCTTGCCCCGTAGAAGCCATCTTGCTACCAAGAAATTTCGCTGAGATAATGCAAGAATAGAGCAACAAAGTCACAATATCAGAAATCTGCTACTGAGCGAGTAGAGACCGCCAACACGAAACCGTCGCTGGGTGTCGTGCAACAAGTTGTGCACTAGTGCAAGTTGAAAAATCCCGCTTACTGTAGGACGGAAGATACTGGGATAATTTACCATATGATGATAGAGTTGATCGGTGGATGGGGTAAGCGCTATTCCGCTTCTCGTGAGCTTAAGACAAACCTTCATTAAGGATGGTGAACGCCAACATGTGGTAGGGAATAGAAAGAGTGTTTGCGTCAAGATCTCCCAACCGGTGTCAGAAGCAACACGTTGGTCAGTTATCAACTAAAAGGGTCACATACGATAGGGGAGCAAAAATTGAATGGATTGCGATACTCACTTGACAAACAAAAGTGGAAAGGAGAAAGAGGGAGGCCATGATGCATTGCACTTGTAGTGAACTCAGAGAAAAACTCTCAAACAGTTACAAATCGCAGAGAAGTGAAGACATGATTAAAGGAGAATTCAGGTGTCGTACCACCCAGCAGCAAGCACTGTCAAATGAGACAAAGAAAGCTTCTCACCAAAATTCTCTACAGTAGGTCATTCGCATATCCGAGGTGGTTGGGAGTGTCGTCGAATAGTTGGATTGTCGTGCATGCATTATCGATCGGCTTGGTGAGCTACAAGAACAAGTGCGATGTAGTTTGGAGCCATCGATAATGAGGCTAATTGCCACACTAAAAGAAGTGACAACGCAGACTACAAATAAGTCGAGTCATTGGAGCACTGTGACGGCAATTTAAAGCAACAGAGTTGGTCGATTACCAGTTGAGAGTCGATATCATTCAGGATCGTTTCAGTTCTTATCGATGTTGTGAAACGTGATAGCAACAGTCAGAAAGACTTAGGCGTCTCAGTGAACGAGATGATGAAGTAGGTTACCAGAGTGTCAGATAAAATGCTCTGGTCAACATTCCAGTAAACAGATTTTAACATGGACCGTGTCTGTATTCTGTGGAAAATACCATGCCGTCACATGGAAACTTTTCTCGGACCCGGGGCTCGGATGAACAGGAACAATACTAGGCTCATTTAAATCCTAATAGCCCTTCTGCTTCACGGATCAACTTGTAGTGCCGGAGTATGCGATTTGCAAGTAAGTGAAGAACAAGGTGGTGATGCGCAGGACCATGAAGCGTCAATCAAACAGAGAAGATCCCAGCTGGTCAGAATTTGGTTTCCCATACTTCGGTGTTGGAAAAGGATTGCCTGCTGAAAAGTAACGACCATGTACGCAACGTCACGTTTTTCGCATGCCGCGGCCTTAAGGAACATAAGTCTGCTTTGTAATCCAACGGGCGCGAGTTCGAGTCTGCGTAGTGACCAGGCGACCCTCACGGTATCCCTGGCCAATGTGTAACTGGTGGTGGTTGCGCGGAAGCGAAGCGTCGGTACTGGATACCGGCGTGTTACTGATGCCCTGCCGCATGCATGTTGACACCGTACTCAAGACTGCCTCGAAGGTAGGTTGTGTTCAGTTAAGTGAGGTAACGCGAAGTTCAATTGGATGGGGAAAGAATTGTTAGAAAAACCATGGAAAAGCCAAACTTGATAATTGTGGATCATCATCATAGATGGGGACCAGGAGAGGGGCCACAAATAAAACTTATGTGTTGCCTACCCAACGGAACGTAGTCCTCACTCTCTTTCCAGTGATTCTGTGGTGCCTAGTACTTCTACGGACACCGCACCTTCTGCCAGCGATGTAGTCGGGTAGGGCACAGTCATGGCTTTTGCAAACCTCCATCAACTAAGATGGGCAAACCAGGACTGACTCTTACACGTAGTCCAAAAATGAGGCTGCAATCGAGATGAAAACACGAAGGGTATAAAGGTGGCAGCTCCATGAGCCCGCTGACCACAGGAAGATCGATGTCAGGATCGACGAGCAGCCCGTCCGGTTGCAGTTAAACCCTGTCTCGGACATTATGATTATCTCCGAGGGTCTCCGGCAATCCCATAACAAACCACCATTCAAACCAAACTCTAGATCCACCACAAGCGCAGTGGTGATCGCATGGAGCTGACCTCGCAATTGCAATGCTCCGTCTCCTTTCGAATCTCCAAATTCGACGAGATCTTCCACATCACAAGGGCGAAACTCCATCCATTTGGTCTTTAGTGGCTCGAAAACCCTGGTTTCGCTGAATCGTCTCTTCCAGCCATCTACAGTGTAAGCGTCGGAATGCTTAGCAACGCGCAGATCACTCGAAACATAACAAGCAAAATGCAGGAACTGACTTACGGTGTTATTTGCACAAATAGAAGCATCAAACAAAGCACCTAAAGCATACCTTAACGGTTTCATTTAAACGCATGAGCAATGCGCGCTCAAAACACTGCAGATCGATACGAAGCGGAACCGAGCAGTTCAGCGTTAAACGGATGAGACGACAGAATGCCTCAATATAAAGGCAAATACACAGGCGATAAAGAAGGGCTGGAAAGCGGGTTAATCAGAGCTGGTTGGTTCAAAAAGATCGATAAGGTGTCCGATTAGCGGGCGGAAAACACAGAGTATGGTACAAGGTGAATAAGCATAAGTGCAACATTAGTAAATAAATAAATAAAGATTTTATTCTCGACAACGCGACACGCCTGCATAGACATGATCATGGCGAAACAAAGTATGAGGACAGGAAAACGTAAATAGCGGTAAATGTTCATCATTGGCATATGAATCACTGTGAAAGGTGTATAATATGGAGTTTTGTAGGTATGAATGTGTTTGGTTGTGTCGCTTGGATTTGTGAATGTAACGCCGTACTTGTGCTTGTTTTTGGCCGGATCGTTACCGTGAGAAGGGGTGAATGGAAATCTTTGTACTGGATGACTGATGTCCGTGGATTGGGTAATATCATCCAGATACGAAAGGGGCAGTGACTTTAGTTAGTGGCGAGTCACATTCGCCACGTCACAGTGTTGTTAAACAGATATTTGTGGCTTTTTATAGGGAGAACCCATACCAGGCGGAAAACCACCACGTCCTGGAATGAATGGGATTGAAAGCAAAAACAGAAAATTGTGCGCAGAACCAAAGAGGAGCGGTATGAACAGGGATGAAAAGGCGCAAACTTGATAAACAGAGAGCAGTAGAGATTGGAAGCTGAATGGATCTTGTCAACAAACATGCCACCTTGATTGGTGGCGGCTTGCAAAGGAGGTCACAGCTCCGGGTGCCAGCCTTGTCCTCTGCACACCCATAACATGCATGACAGTGGAAAATGAGTCACGCTATATAGCAGTGAGATATCAGTCATGGCGGTTCGTTGTCGTCACCCAAGGCGCAGTGGCATAGGTCGCTGACCCGTAAGAATAAGATCATGGGTTCGGAGCGGCCGGATGCGCCCCACTGATGAGTCTGAATAGAACGAAACGACCGTCTAGCGCTTTCCTGTACGTGTGGTGTTTGTTTGGTTGAGTTAAGCAGCGACGAATCGTCTCAAAAAACACAATAAACCTTTCTAATACTCCCTAGTTAACAAAAGCGTTAGAGAAAGCGGGCCGTTCCGATCCGGCACGATCAAGCGAGCGAAATGTCCGTTACATGCAGTGCGGTACGAGCTCTGGCAATACCGACTGTTCAAACCGACGACATCACCCGACAGTTCGACTAATATTCAAGGATGGTTTTGGCCGCTGTACACGCATACGAAACTAAACCGGTATTCCGTTTCAAAAGACCTGCCCCATTCGCAGCCCTATCCTTAGTCGATGCAGAACTCAAACGAGTGGAAGACGTGGGTGTCCAGTTACGCTTGGGTAGCTCCCATTGTGGTAGTCAAGAAACCGAATGGATCCCTCCGCATCTGTACGGATCTCTGCAATAGTCTCAATGGTGACCTGGAACCAAATTAACGTCCATTACCGACTCCAACCAATCGCTTCGTAATGCTCAATGGTGGCACGCCTTCCTTCAAAACCGACCTGGCAGACGCTCACGTACAGATTGATGTTGCCCCTGAATCACAACTGTTCTTTACGACCAACACACACCACCGTCTTCTCCAGTACATTAAGCTACCGTGTGGTATTAAGACCGCTCCAGTCTTTTCCCAACAAACAATGAAAGTGATGATTCTGCCATTCCGGGTACGGAGTTGTACGTGGACGAACTTCTCATTATTGGTCGCATCCCAGAAGAACTGCACGAGTGCTAGATCGCTGTCTTCAGATGTATTCAAGAGTACGGTTACAGCATGAGAGCAGAAAATTTAAAGTTTTCGTTCGGTCAAACAAGTACCTTGGGTTCATCTACAATGCGAACGGATATAATGCTGATCCAGAAAATATCCGAGCTATTCACCACGTGCAATCTCCAGAAGTTCCGGAGTGGGAGTTCTGTCACGTGACCGAGTGACAAACATTGGATAAGCGGACAACATTCCCTGGGTGTGACGCAATGGCTATGCAAGAACTAATGAATAGACTAGAGCGCTGTGCTGCACACCACGGCAAGTAATTTGATCTATGAATGTGTAACGTATTGTTGCAGGAATGGGCCGATACATCATCGGTTTTAGCTATCAGCGAACGGGAACGGTAAGTAGTGGACCGGTTCA